CGTGGGGTTGATTGAGCCCTCGGCGTGAGAGGAGGGTGGATTTCGGTCCGCCTTCTCCACGCAGCCCCGGCTTCGGGTCTTCAGGCGCCTCTCTGCAGCTGTCAGGGCTAAAAATTAACCGTGATCGCCTGGCGGAGGCCTGGAGTCCCCGCTTGCGAGCGATTTAGCAGGGAATAAACCAAGCACTGTTAAATTTGCTCCTTCAGCTGAGGCGGGGGAGGGATGAGGAAGGCAGCATCTCTCATCTCAGTTTAGAATTGCTGTTGCTTTTTGCCTTTATTAAGGTCCCTTTGTAATTTGAAAATAGTCAAGTTGACGAGTCGTCGTAAATCCCGGCCCCAAAAGCCGAGACTTTTCAGTTCCCCCTCCTCTACACGGCTCCCCAACTTGACAGTTTTCTGACAGGAGTTCAGAGTGAGCATCATCTGCTGCAGATGGTCTGTCCCAGTTTTTTACCAGGGCCTGATTGATCGAGAATATTTGCTGGTCTCGGTAGTTGCACTTGCCTCACCGGGTGAAAGGCATTTTCTGAGATAAGTAAGTCCAAGTCTCAGCTGGTGACACTTTAAATTGTATTAAAAATAGGTTAAGTGTCTGAAGATGTTCTCTGTAAAGAGTATTGCTCAGCAGGAGATCCTGTTCATCCTGCAGGCAAAGGCTGAGATGATGAACATGTAGTCCAGCGCCAAGAAAGGCAAAAATTGTGACTGTCATTGCGCTGCCGGCTGAGGTGCCTAAGCTTATGATAGACCCCTTACCCGGGAGGGCAGAAATCGTCCCCTGACAAGGGTAGTTTGATCCAAAAAGACAGATTCCCCCTCGCCAGCCTCCAACTGAGGTTGTCCCCAAAGCGTATCATAAAATGCCGCTTCCTCAATACTGAGCTAAATGAAGCTACGTGGGTCCTTTTCTCCTGCCATCAGCAGCAGACAGATTTTTCCCTGCCTTTGGAGCAGAAGCTCCCAAACAGTTTTTCAGGCTCCCCTGGGAGCAGCTGACTTCTGACCAGGGCTGTACACAGCCACGCTCAGCAGTTAACATCTGATTATTATTTTTTCCTGTCGCTTTCTGTACCTCCTGAGCTGACGCCCTAGGAAACGAGCGGTCGGCCTCTGCCTCCAGCCTCGCTTCCCTGCGTGAGCCTACCTGGGCACTTGCTGCCTCGGCAGGGGTGTTTCACTGTTTCACCTCACAAAGCGTGCCCGCGCGCCTTCCCTTTGCTTGCTTCCCTTAAGAGAATGCTTTGGGGTTCATCACTTTAGAAACTGGTGGTTTGGGAAGATTATGAGATTACAGGCTCCCCCGTCCTGTAAACGTTTGCACAAGCTCAATGTGTTTTCGGCTGTGTGAGTGTTCCTAATGCTGTCAGTGAGACACCTCATTTGAGGAAGACCTTGCGTGTGTTTAAGTGCTGCAGGGTTAGTGCCAGAAACACCAGCCCCCGAAGAGAGGAAGGTACTTTATTCAGGCTATTTGCATTTCCATTTTTTGTTTTAATGACCGTCGGTACAACACAAACACTGAGCAGACAGTGGGGAGAGATCAGTTTGATAAGATTCAGTGTTTCTCTGTGGTTTGGGGTGGGACGTCATGTAATGGTTAGCTAATGCTGCTGCTGTATCCTCCAGCAAAACAAAGAATGACGAAGCTTGACGTTCTTGATTGTGCTGGGGAGAACCCAGTTCCTCTGTGCTACATTTTTCCTTTCTTTTCTTTTTTCCTTCTAAAGGGGAAGGGGGCAAAAAGTTTTCAGACCTTCTTACTACATCAGAAGAAAAAAGGAAAACAAGAAGATACAACCCCGTTTCCTCCCCTTTGCATGTTACTCGTAACGTTACAGGTAAGACGTCAGGTTTTCTATTTTGCCTTGTTTCGTGCATTTGAAGTTCTGCTCTTAATGTTGTGTTGACATAGACCTGTGTGCTATAGTTCCTTGATTTTTGTGGGTCTTATTGCTTTCTTCTAAAGATAAGGGAGGGGGAGAAGAATCCTTAAGACGTGGTGCTGTTAAGCTGCACCTTGTGAAGTTTTGTGCACCCCTGATCTCACGTACCCCAGAGACCCGCAGCCATCCAGACGTTTAGTAATCTCTTTGCACGACTTCACAAGATTGACAGGCTGTCCTGCAGCTTCAGGTTTAGTAACATATTTTGCCAAGTTTGCACAATGTCTGCTTGGGCATACGAACGTGCGCTATCCTGCAGTGTTCATAAATGTAAAAAAAAAAAAAAAAAAAAAGTCCTTCAAAGGCACATATGCTTTCCTGTGTGCTAGGCAATTCTGAGATTTCTTGGAGTACGCACTATGAGCCTTGGTATTCCTGACCTCCCTGAAATTGTTTTGATATCTGTAGCACTCTTTAATTGACACTTCAGATGCCATCCAGCTTGGAAACTGTTCATGCCACAAGTGGTCTTTAATAAACTTATTTACTTTCCTTTTTTTTTTTTTTTTTCTTTTTGGGAGAGTTTACGTCTAATTTTGGATCATTCCAAATTTTTACCATATATGGTCAGGGCTCCTTTTCAAAGTTTGCCAAAATGAAATGTGATGATTATAGAAAAATGAATTATGGAAGGGAAACTAGGAGAGCTAGTTTGTTAATCCCCATTGTTCATAAGTTGTCTTTTGCTGTATGCAGTATCTCAAACTACACAAATGCGGAGCTGCTTTTGCCAGGGAGTCACTTGTGCCCAGTGGATGGTCTGATAAGCTGGCATTTAGAACTGGATTCTGTTCTTTTTCTTTCACCGTCCTGTTATATATTTTCTGTCGTGTGTCAGAAACACCACATATGATGAATATCTTGGTTTTAACAATGTACTTAAGATGCCTTGAGGTCAAATGTGTGCTGATCAGCTTTTGAAAAGTCTCTGAGGAGGATTTGGGTCCAAATGCCTCCTTCCTGATTCCTGTTCTACAAAGGAGGGATAACAATATTACTTTCCCTTTTCAAAGTGTTTAGAAGGTACAAGTGCTAAGTATTTTAATCCATTATGCAATCAGTTGCCTATTTTTAGTACCTGAACCATTTTTAATGTTCTTTTTACAATGCAAATATGCTTTTATTGAGGCTGAGAGAATGAGCTGTTTCAAGCACTTAAGCCGCAGGGAATGGGGAGTGGGGGTCTATCGGGGACTGGTTTAACCTAACTCTTGTGAAAGGTGGTGTACAGCACATAAAGATCAGAGAACTGCCGTGTGAGGTGCTTGTAAATTAAATGGTGAGAGATTTCTCTAAAAATTCCAGTATTTCAAACTGCATGAAAGTAGGTGGCAAATGTTTTAAATGCAAACAATAGACTAGTTCTGTTAAGAATGCTATTTTTTCCCCCCTTTCCAGTAGGGTCGTGCACCTGCAACGGGGACAGCCATGGAGAAGAGTGGGAACATTCAGTTGGAGATTCCTGACTTCAGTAACTCTGTTCTGAGCCACCTGAATCAGTTACGCATGCAGGGTCGCCTGTGTGACATCGTGGTCAACGTGCAGGGGCAAGCTTTCCGTGCTCACAAGGTGGTGCTGGCTGCCAGCTCGCCCTACTTCCGTGACCACATGTCCTTGAACGAAATGAGCACCGTTTCCATTTCTGTCATCAAGAACCCTTCTGTTTTCGAGCAGCTCCTTTCCTTTTGTTACACCGGTAGGATATGTCTGCAGCTGGCTGACATCATCAGTTACCTAACGGCTGCCAGTTTCTTGCAGATGCAGCACATCATAGACAAATGCACGCAGATTCTCGAGGGAATTCATTTCAAAATTAACGTGGCAGAGGTGGAAGCGGAATTGAGCCAGACCAGGACAAAGCATCAGGAGAGACCACCGGAGTCTCACCGGGTGACGCCAAATCTAAACCGTTCTTTGAGCCCGCGTTACAACACCCCGAAGGGGAGTCGCCTAGGCCAGGTTAGCACGGTGCTGGACATTCGGGAGCTCAGCCCGCCTGAGGAGTCCACCAGCCCCCAGATAATTGAGCAGAGTTCAGATGTGGAAAGCAGGGAGCCCATACTACGGATTAACAGAGCGGGACAGTGGTACGTTGAGACGGGAATGGGAGACCGCGGGGGACGGAACGACGACGACGTCCGCGTGCTGGGAGGAGTGCACATTAAAACAGAGAACCTGGAGGAGTGGCTCGGGGCAGAGCATCAGCCGTCGGGAGAAGATGGGAGCAGCGCTGAGGAGGTCACTGCTATGGTGATCGACACCACAGGCCACGGATTGATGTGCCAAGAGGCTTACGCATTAGGGTCCTCCGGGGCCAAAGTGGTCAGGCCAACCAGCAGTGAGATTGACAGGTGAGTTTTCTTTAACTTAATTACTGACCTTGGCTGCAAGAGGAGATTGTGCAAGATTTTCACTTGGCTGGGTTGGTCGCTTTGGAATGTTTCCCCCTTATATTTCTTGTGGCCATTAAGCATAAGCGCTGAAGGAAGTTTTTCGTGGTGTCAGTAAGTGCATCCAGTTTGGGTTATAGTATTTTGGCTGGGTAGTGATCAGACCAGGATCTCCAGGTACAGGCTAGCTTGGGAAATTAATTATTAGCACATAGAGATGTATAGTTTGGAATCTTGGTGTATAGCTGAGGTGGAGTTTTTGTCTAAAGAAGATACTGCGGTTCAGTCTCAGTAGATATGGTGCTCAGCATCGGAATTAACGAGGTCACATACAATACGTGTTACACAAAGTGTCATTGCAGTGATGCCTTCTGGCCTGAGAATCTGGGGGTGTTTCTGTTTGAGAAACAAGCCAGTCAACAGCTGTAGGTCAAAAGGAAATTTTCTTCCTGATGGTCCAGGACAGCAGTGGGTCGTGGGTTTACATCTTCTGAAGCAGTTGAAGTGGGGAGCCCATCGGCTTCTGCTGTTGTTCTGATTTATACGAAAAAGCAGAAAGCCTTTATTGAAAATAGGTGGTGAAATCTGCTGTGTTTTGATTCTCCATCCATCTGCTTCCCCTCCACTCCAGCATTTGTTTTCTTGCCCTTAGCTCAGAGCAAAGGACAGATCTGATAACGGGCAGATCTGTTGTGTTTGGGGGGTTTGTATTTGTGGTGTTTCCCTTCACATCTGCCTCTTGTCTCTGCTAGCTCAATCCCTCTGGTCCCATGGGGTAACAGCTACCTGGAAGCAGTGGATATTCTGTCACTTGTTGCTTAATAAATCAATCAGTGGGAATGACCTTGAGCAAGCCCTTGGGAGAGCGATCCTTTCCTAATTCCTTAACTCTTTTCCCTGGATCAGCTAGCCTCAAGCATGTCTTTTTGCATGGCACTCGATATCCACTGTTTCCTACTTGGAGTCCATCGCATCACTTTGGTTTCACACTTGAAAGGGGGAGGAGGGCGAGGGTGGTAGATGAGAGGTGCCCTTAGAGAAATGGTTTCTTCTCCTGTTGTACAGTTCCTGAGTCAATGGGCCCATGTTGGTTCACTTGTGATAGCAACCAAAAAGTTCTCTGTTACTAAACTGGAAGCCAAATGACTCAGTTTTATTTTTCAGATGTTAAGACTGAAACCACAGACCAGTATGACTTGGTTTTTCCTTTATACTTGTGCTGTTCCGCCTCCTGTGTGTTAGCTGGTGAGGATGAAGAGATGCTATACAGGTGCCTCTATTGCTCACCCGTTGTTCTAAACACGGTAGTGACCTGATGCCCATTAAAAACTCCGTTTACACTCTTCCCCCACCCCGCAGATTTAGCCCTTCTGGCAGCATGGTTGCTGTGACTGAGCGGTACAGATCAAAAAGCGAGTCTCCCAGGCGGATGGATGAGCCCAAGCAGCCCAGTTCCCAGGTAGGCAGATCAAGAAGTTTGCAAGTAAATGTTGGCATTGAAGGTGAAGGGGACTGTGCTGTGATGAAGTGTATAATATTTTATATTTGCAAGCAATACTGTTTGTGAAACAAAGACCTATTACTGTTGCAAGAGTTTAGTTGCTCCCACTGAGAACATATGCTGTCGGTATATGATTTAAAACTGATTTTGACTGTCGTTTGGGATTTTGGCCAGATACCTGGAAAACATGAGGATTTTCTCTTGTTATCTGAAGGCATAAATACCAGCCCTCGTTCTGGGCAGGCCACCAACTCCTGAGGAGAAACCCCATTCGCCTGCAGAGTTGGATCTGCCCTAAAACACTGACAGCAAATGCCTGAGCTGAGGTATTAGTTGGCTTCTGTGGAAGACTGAGGGGTGACAACAGCTGAACCTTTCCATGCTAGTGCCAAAACCATTCCGAAAAGCCCTCCAGCCACTACACCAGTAAACCTTTAGGGTGGAGTGTCAAAGGACTGTGAATTTGTACAGAGGTGTCTGTCTTGACCCCAAGGGACTGTGTTGCACAGCAGAATTTGCAACATGAAGCAGCTCTGACTCCTCTGCTTTCTTGGAGTATGGGCGCGGTTTTGGGGTAGGAGGGAGAGATATGCAGAAATACAGGAGGGCAATGGGCTATAGGGTGCAGTAAAGTAGCACATAGGTAATACCTGTGCCTAATCAATTTGATTTGATTTTTTTGTTGCATACAGTCAGTATTTCAGTGGCACTATAGTGCAAGTGTATCGCCCAGCACTGTGTAGAGCAACCCTTGTGTGCCTGGCAGATAAGTAATGTGTCAGTTTGTAATCAAATGACTTTGCTGGAGGCAGGTGAGGAGTTACCAGGGTGCTTTGCCCTTGAGTAAGACCAAATGAAGCAAGGGGAAAAACATGATGATTGCTGTCTGCTAACTTTATAATACGCTTCTATAAAACAAAAGATATCTTTTTGTTCCTATTTTGCCAAAGCTTAGTTTTGTGTCCTCAGAATACATCTAGAAAATTTCAGGTCAAACTAACCCTTCAGGGCAAATATGACACACAAAGCAATTATAGCTCTACGTACAGAAAAGCTGCTATTATTTCTCCATCATGAGGTGGCCTCAAATGTAAAACCATAGGCTACCACGTACACGAGGAAATGTTATCACCTTCCACGCTTCTGGTATTGCCATATCGATGCTAAAAATAGTCTGCCCGTGATCCCTGCCCAGTGGCAGTGGTAGAGTGGAAGGAAAGTACCGTAGCTTTGTGCATGTCCTTCAGTCCTGAACAGTTTACGAGTGTTCGTACAGCCGGATTCAACAGCATCTGGCACAGTTACGCTGCTGCTTGCATGTGCATGGCCCTGGTTGCCGGAGGAGAGGCCCCCCTGCCATTACGGTAGTTGCTTGTCTGCATTTGGGGTCATTGGGAAACAGCGTAAGACTTGGGAGTGCAAATGCTGCATCCTCCAGCATGGAGGCATTCCAGGAGGCTGTCTTATTTGTGCTCAGTCTGAATATGATAGCCAGAAGCGGCTGTCCTAGAGCCTGAGCTTGCAGTTCAGGGTTACCCTTGGCTATTTGTCTTTCTGCCTTCAGAAAATAATGAGGAGCCATCTAGTTCATTGCTGTGTGACCTGGGCCAGGCATGCTAGCTCTCAGTGCAGCAGATCCTCCCCTGCAATGCCACAGGGCTGGGCTGGGTTACACAGCCATTTAGGCAAATGTGATTCATTATAAAATGAGTCCTGAATGACGCCTGAATAGATACTTGTGTAAAGTGAAACCTGAAGAGATTCAGATATGATTTATAGTTTATTCCACCTTTCATTTACTGCAAGCTCATCAGTTGGCTTCCTTTTTTAACCTTTAGTAAGTAAAACACAACATGATATACAGTATTTTAATCAAACTGGCCCAAGTTTTGAAATAAGTAACAGGTATTGACACATTAGATACACAACTCAATCGATGGCTAAGCGCCCTCCTGACAAGTGCTGTCTTTTCTTCCCTGGATCTAGCAAATGACTTGGCAGAAGGGGCCGCCATAGCAGAGGTTTCTAATTGATTGCTCATTTGTCTTCAGCCCCAAGGCTCCAGTTAAGCACTTAAATGTCTGCTTGAGGTTGAAGACATTAGTGCTGCTGATTTCGAGGTTTGGCATGTGCTTCAGTGCTTTACTGGCTGGACTGTGGCCTGATCTTCTTTCCTGCAGTTTGTTTTAGGCTGCTTGTTGTTTAAATCTCTGTTGCTTCCTTCACAGGGGGAGGAATCAGCCATGCTTGGAGTGAGCGGTTATGTGGAATATCTCCGTGAGCAGGAGGTTTCAGAGCGCTGGTTCCGGTATAACCCACGGCTCACTTGTATTTACTGCGCCAAATCCTTCAACCAGAAAGGCAGCCTGGACCGGCACATGCGTCTCCACATGGGCATCACGCCTTTTGTCTGCCGCATGTGTGGGAAGAAGTACACCCGCAAGGATCAGCTGGAGTATCACATCCGCAAGCACACAGGCAACAAGCCCTTTCATTGCCATGTCTGTGGCAAAAGCTTCCCTTTCCAGGCCATCCTCAACCAGCACTTTCGCAAGAACCACCCCGGCTGTATGCCTCTGGAGGGGCCTCACAGCATCTCCCCTGAGACCACTGTCACGTCTCGGGGGCAGGCGGAGGAAGAATCTCCTCCTCAGGAGGAGGCTGTCGCTGTGGGGGAGACGGCACAGGGATCTGTGTCCACGACTGGGCCAGATTGAAACGTGGTTGCAGAGTCTGGGGAGAAAGGACCGTCTTCCCGTTTTTGGCTCTAAAAGAGTCAGCACCAACCTGGCAGGCTGGTACTGTAATTAGTGCAATGCCACCACTGGACAGAAAGAAGCTCCCAAGATGTTGCCAAAATAGAAAAATCTTTCTCTCTCTCTCTTTCTCTCATACACCCACACACACACACGTAGAGTGTTAAAAGTTTTTCTCCCTCATTCCTCGTCTTGGAGAAAAACAAAACAACTGTGTCAATCAACTTCTTATTCAGGGATCGACAGGATTTTAAATTTTTTTAATGTTCCGTAGTGATCTGGGATGAGCAGTCATTTGTATTTCTTGACGGTGTTTTGGCCCGGCAGCTAGGTCCTGCTGGCCATCAGCCGTGCAGGCCCGGTGAGCCTAGCGTGCAGGGCTGCTCCTTGCCATATCTGCTGGTCCAGCTCAAGGGGAAAGCAGGGGCAAGGTGCCGTTGCCTTCCTCCGTTCCCCAGGTAGTTGCCACGTTAAAGAAAACAAAAAGACTGTCCTGGTGGAACCTGCCTTGCCCGAGTGTATTTATCCCTGTCTTATTTTTGGTGTGTCTCTTTTTACTTAAGCTATTATTTTAGGGCTTTTGGCTTGCCCGTTCCAGGCGTGCAGCCTCAACACCCATTGTTAAAAGTGGGCATGGCTATAAAGCGGTATTCTAGAGGTCAGCAAAATTTGAACCGCTTCGGCTACTGAAAGTGAAATTTAGCAGCTATGAGGTTTGCATTAGACTCTGATGTGTTGGGAGAAGGGTTGGAGGGGTCTTTCAGGGGAGGTTCTCCTTTGCCGTTGCTGCTCTGGAGAGTTCAGAGCACTCTGACATCCTGACCGGTGCGCTGCCGTGCTTCAGGTGTTGCTGAGCGTTAGGAAGAGTTCTTCTGGACTGGCTGAATTGCGGAGTTAGAGGCTGGCTACCAAAGTCGTCCTTCACCCCTACTCCCCCCTCGACACGCACTTGATCTTTTATAACAGCAATATGGTATACTGAAATAGTATCGTCCCAGCCGAGCAATTGTGGGTGGTTGCTTTTAAACGTCTTTCTACAAACTAGTTTGATAACTTTTTTATCAATGAAATGCAAAAAGAAAAGAAAACCCTACTTTATTTCCTCATAACGGTTCAGGAAACTTAAAAGTGAACGGTTCCTAGAGCAATCACAACTCTGTCCCCTTGCATGGACTTAAACTTTTGTATTCTAAGCAGCTCTGATGTTTAGAGCAAGTTAAGCAAACCCGGAGAGACATGCCTGCGTTGTGTATTGTAGGTGTTTGCACGTGCTTACGTGTTTCATAAACAGAAAAGCATGGGACAGGTAGATAAGTGCAAATATCTTGACATCTTTTGAAGACGTCTTTTAAAAAATATGCAATACTTTAAGAGTTTTCTCTGGTTCTGATGCCAAGTTGTTCATGATGGAGGGGGAAAATGGTTGCGCAGATTGGGTTTGGGAGAGGACATTTGGTTAGAGGAGTTCTGTTGAGGATGTATAATGTGTACAATAAGGAAGGATGAAGTTCTGATCCTTAAGGTGATGGGAGGAACAATGAGACTGAAAAAGGAATACACTTCATCTTGCTTTGGCAAAGCAAGCCGGGCGAGTGTTTAAGAGCATGGGCTTGGTGGGCAGGAGACTTACCAAGTGAAAAATAAAGCTTGCCCTGCTGTCTGACTTCACAATTTTGGGCACATGGAAACATCTCCAGCCTTCACTTTTCCCCACCTGCAAATTGGGGCTCGGGATCATTTTCCTGCCTCTTTAGAGGGAAGAACTTGGAGAAGGGTGGTGTATTCTTGCTTCGCTTTATGTATTTTTCTCTTTTATAAGTGAGGGTCTCACTGTTCCTCCCATTCCTAAGAGAGGAACCTTTGCAGGTGTTCTGAGCTGGGCACCCACAAAGTACAATTTCATTGACCATTTCAAGCAGGAAAACAGATATTTCACCTCTGTTTTCCTTCTGTCCCTTCTTCCTCCTCTCCTGTCAAGTGCATCGTCACACAGTGAATGGTTTTCTAAGTGGCCACCCGAGGGCCCAGCCCCATTGGGTTTCCTTGTGAAGGTCAAACAGAATTGTACCGAAACAGTAAGGTTGCCAGAGAGCAGTCACAGAAGATGAGAGATAAGAGGGTAGCTAAGGTAGGTTTCGTAGCAACTGAGGTGTGCGGAGGAGCGGAGACGTGCAGAGTATGCTGCTTTAGTCATAGCTTTTGAAGTTACCAAAAATCAAAAAGAAAAAAGTTAAAAACTTTGAAATCCTATCCTGTTCATGCTAGAGAGCATCAAAAGTTACTTTTAGTTGCTTAAAAGATTTTTAAGTGTTTTAAGATAGAACTTTTAAAAGAATACTACCAAACTATAAAAACATAAAATTATTTATATACATATATTATATATAAATATAGTGGGAAAGTTTCCCTGCTAAGCTTGCTGTGAAGAGAAGGGTGAAGGTGCAGTAACTGCTATATAAGCAACATTTTTCTGAAACAGATGGCAACCGATCCATCAAAGCGTAGTGATGAAGGGCTGACATAAAATGGTGTATGCCTTTATTCGTGTGGCGTAGCTGTGAGTTTCTTGGGCAGGTTTTTGTTTTACTGTGTCAATACTGTGAACGGAGGAGCATCCTAACAGCCCAGGATGCCAGCAGTGTGTCCTGTTTTGCTGATTCACTACTTTAAATTGGCCTGGTGAAAACTATGAAATTGGTCCCTCATATTGTACTAGGCTAGTCTGAAAACAAAGCTTGTGAAAGGTTTTTATTTTTTCTTCTTTTATGGTTTGGTTTTGGGTTTTTTTTTTTGGTGCAGAGGTTGCCACTGTATAAATGATCATTTCTGATTGCATGCAAAAGAGCCAATATTCTTGCCTGGGCCTCGCTGAGGTGAAGTTTATAGCTTGTAGCTAGAGTCAGTATAAGGTATGGTAGTGGGAATCATTTTAATATTATTTCTGTACATTTAATGGATGTGTATGTGTATGTATGTGTAGGAATCATGGTGTCTCTGATGTTTTCTCGAACAGCGCTGAAAGCGGTTTAGGCCCATCCACACTAGAAGATGGAACCAGTTCAGAGGAATTGTTTCTTAAACTTTTCTTTCGGTGGTTGACTTCCTCAGTGCACATAAGGCCAAGGTTCGAGAAAAAAGGGGTTCGAGGTCGTATACGGTATGGAAAAACCTCATGTGAATTTTCCGGCTGTAAGTGTAGCTGCTTGGAGCTGCTTTCCATCACAGAATGATACCATCTTTCGTTGCCTCTCCATTGGCAAACCGTGTAACTCTTTACAGTTGCACTGAAGCTGTGGAGAATCAGGTGCCAACTTCCCAAGAGCAAATGTTTCTGTGATGGGTTGAGGCACAGCTTTGCATTTCCACGTCTAGCTGCAGCTTTTTCCCCTCTGCCAAAACTGTGATTTCAACTGTGATTTAAGGAGGATGTGAAGAGAACTCTGTCATATTTTAATACCTCTGTATGTAACATTTCTGTCTGCTTAAGAGTTAGGGCTTACTAACCCATTTGTTTGCTTGCCTCAGGCAACAGGGGGAACACACTCTATTTCTGCAGTTTTCTTTCTCAGAGGAGGAACGCATTGCTTAGTTCTTTGCTATGGCAGAGAAACCTTCCAAATGTGAAGTGTTGCGGTTATCTCCTTGAGCCTGCAGAAAGCCCCGGTGCCAAGTCACAGCAGAGTGACGTGACAGTTGCCGTGGCCGTGCCCTGCTGCTGCCAGGTTCCCTGTGAATAGCTGTGAAAATAACAAGAATTGTGTTAATACTGTGCTGCTGCTTTGGGGAAAAGCTAAACCTCTTCCTCTCAGGAGGATGACCGATGTGAAGCTGGGAAAGGGAAAAAGCAGAAGGTCTTTTTGCTCTCTTGCAGTGGGAGTATGTGAAAGCACACTGTGCTGCTTATTTCCAGCAGCTCAACAGAGAGGGATGAATGAGGAGGCTTTGTGAAATGTGAATTTATAACTTCATAAGATCCAGGCCTGGTAAGAGTCAGAGCAGCCGATGCAGACGGGCAATCCCTTGCTTGTCCTCCCAGCATTGTCCGGCCATCAGGTTCAGTCCTTCGACTTACCTACATCTTCTCTTTAATATTTTCAAGCTGTGATCTGTGTAATTTAACTTTCAGAAGTTTGGGTGGCTGAAGGGCAGAAAGAATACAAAGCGTTTTGTGTCTCTGCTGCTGTTTTAAATCCAGCCGAGGTCGGTAGCGACTGACTGTTCCCACCTGAGAGCTCTTCAGAGCTGGAATTGCATTTGGAACAAGCTGCGATCTTGCTGAAAAGCATGGTGGGGCAGGCTTGGTGCGGAGGGCATGGAGCCAGGATTTCAGCCTTCTGTGAGATCAAGGTTGAAATAAATTGACAGGACAGATCTCCCTGCTTGTCCTGCTCTTGTTTTTTGATAGCTAGGTGACTTTGTTTTCCAGAGCAGGTCGTCCCACGCCTCTATGCAATAGTAATTTCACTTAAAAGTGTGATGCCCAGTTCGGTAAATGATTCTAAGCAGTCCGGTCTTCGAGCAGAGTCCTTTGAGTGATTCAACCCTAACAATGCATTTGCCAGAGCAGAGTTGTAGCTTTTATTTGCTGCTGACTCATCTCTCCTGCAGAACCCAATGTATAAATAGAAAGACAGCGAAAAGGTGCAGTTTATTTGGGTGGAAGGTAGCTTGTGAGGTAGGCTGAGTCATGCATCTTTAAAACCAACAAAAATGAGTACTCCTTAAACTTATTATTTAAACGTTATAAAATCCTCCTCTTCTATCCATGACATGCCTGCCAATTTAGCCGTACCAGCATCCAAGTGTTTCTGCAGATTAGTGACACCAATGCTGTTCTTGCTCTACCAGAAATATTTTGGGAATGGGAGAAGTCAAGGAGCTGTAATTCAGGAAACTTCTAATTTTTGTCGGTTTTTAGGCTCCGAGTTTCCCCTGGGAGCTGAGCCTGTAGCCAGGACTGCAGTCAGAAAGTCTGGGGTCTTACGATGGAGCTGCCGCTGACTGCTAGCGTAGCCTCGTCTGGCGATAACGATATTCTCAGAGATGAGCATTACTCGTGTCATGAGGTGAAGATCCATGCACAGAGCTTTGACGTCTTGAGTAGAAGGTCCTAAAGAGGAGCTTTATTTTAATCATTGTCATTCAAAGGCTATTTTAATATAACATACATACATCTATATGTATGTACATTTATATATATATATATTTGTAACCAAATAAAAGCTAGAACTATGCAAACACTACTGGCTGCTGCTTGAAACTAATGTCTACCAGAACATTTTGGAATAGAGTAGATTTGGAGTAGTTTTGTTGGTTTTTTGTTCTTAAACAAAAAGCAGCAGACCAAAGTTTTGCTGCAGTTAGTCTTACTAGAAACTTAGGTTATTCTTAATCTGGAACCCACTCAAGTGGGTTATAAAATTATCTGAAGAGTCCTACCATCTCTAAAATACTTCCATCTGCTGAAAGGCTTTCTTCTGCAAAATGTAGGAGAACACAGAGGCTGGGACTAGGAGAGATTGAATGTGATGTTTGGGATGATAGTTAGAAGGGAAGCAGAATCAGGAAGGACTGGGAGCATTTTCTTTTGGAGGCAGGATTGAGTTGGCTTCGAGGAATCTTCCTATTTGTGAAAATGTTCATCACGGAGATGGAGGCAGCAATCAAAGCATCAGCAGGCTGAATCTGGTCCCGGTGGAGGTATCAGAAATCTTCCCGCTGAATCTGATGGTACCGGAGTTTAGTTTGCTGGGAGATATTTCATGTGGTTTCTACCGTTTCTTTGTGTCAGATCCGATCTTTGCTTTTAGATTAACAGAAATATATCCAACCGTAACCTTCAGTGCCCTTTGACTTTTTTATTCCTGGGGACTGTAGAAAATTCAGGTTTCCTATAACATTATCCTCATCCCAACTGTGAAAAAGTTACTACTGCTTCTTATAATTTATTGTCTTTCTGCTCCTCAACGTCTGTGCGATCCAGCTGTTCACCAGCACCACCTTCCAGTGCTTCATTAGCTTTTATGCACAGGGAATTGTTGCAATGGATAAGTTGACCATGCTAGTAGGAAGAGTAGAAGCATTTGGAGAATGACTTTTGCTTCCTCTAGCTGTCATTAGGAAGTGCACACACACATACCTGTATATACATATATATGTATACATATATAAAGTGTTTCAATATAAACTCATTTAGCATTATTCTTATTTAATTTATATTTTAATCCAGTTGTAAACCAAAGTATTACAGCTTGTGAAATGATGTGTCTTGGAAATAGGAGGAACCTTTTTAGACGGGAGCTCTGAAAGATCTTTGCTGACAGAAATGTGGATATGAATAAGACTTAAGAACTTGTGTGGGTGAATCCTAGAGATTTGCAGCCTCAGGAGGATTTAAGGCTTACTTGCTGGGTAAAGTCTGATGGTGGGGAAGTAGTATGGATTAGCATTTTAAAACGCTGTGGGTTTTTTTTTCCTTATCCAGTATAACTGGATAATTGGAGGAATTGCTATGAGAGCAGTACGGTGGGGTGTCTGATGGAGATGAGGCGTGGGGTGAAAGCTAAGAGGGCAATGTCTGGTAGCACTGTTTGCTTCTGGTGTCTTCTCTTCACAGATTTAGATTTAGGTGTGTTGTGTTCAGCTCTGGGCATCTTGGCACCGCCTCGTTGAACAGCCCTGCAGGGATCTGTTCGTTTGGTGGTTTGAATGAGCGCTTTAAAAGCGCGACTCAGCAGTGTTTCTGCTGCTGGACTTTTCCAGCAGAATCACTTTGGAGTCTCTGCCACCCTGCTGTGCCTGCTGGTCACAAAACCTGGGGCTTCTGCCCTGCCTCTTGA